TTCTACAACTATATTTTAGTCCTCATGATCAATGACATTTAAAAGCATCATAGATTCTTTTTCTATAATGCTTCGTTATTTGTCTATTCTTATAAAATATATGCAAATCATGTAATAGCTGTGGCTATCATTCAATTTCAGAATAACAGATAAAAGACAAAAAGAATATATACTTTATTACAGAGAATAAGATGTTTCAACCAATAATAATGTAACTTAATGGTGGCACACACACAAATAAAAAAATCTATTTTGACTTAATAAGGAAATAACAAACCACTTACATGTTATCATTTGCTAAGTTTTATTTAGTTTGTAGGTAAAAAAAAATTACCATTTATTTTGGTTTATACAACAGAAAAACCATAAAACCCCCAGCCACTAAAGGTAATTGATAATACAATTCTAAAATAAAACAATTGTTGTTTTTTACTTAAATTCAGCAACATAAGATTTTAAAAAATATTTACTAGCCTCTCATAAACTTCAATACATAAGGATTATATCAACATAAGGAGGTCTAAAAGTGGTTTCTCACCTCAAATATTACATGAATACGATTCCTGATGTACAGTCATTTTCAATTTTTAAGTTTAAAAAATTAGTTTAAAAATAGTAATCTGTATCTAAATTTAGATGATAATAGGTGAAAATAACTACTCTGTGTGTAAAATACATACTAAATATGATTCCTTATAACAAAAATATCTGTAAGTAATATTGAAGAAATTCATTAAATTAAAAGGATTTGTCTAAAGCCTCTTCAAGCTATATGGTTCTCACCATTTCTTACTTGTAATTGGTATGAAATATTTAAAATATAGCAGACTTAATATTAAATTTGGTAGGCACAATAACCTTTTTTTAACCTTTCTTAGGGAACACTGACCCCTAAAGGTTCTACATTTAAATAAGCTTCAAAGTTTTCAAAATTAAACTATTATCCAGACTACCTTTTTACCAACATTATTATGAACATGTAAATTTGTGATAGACATATTTCTTCAAAAATAATATATAAACTCCTTCTGAAAGACTGTTGTGTAATATAAAAGAACTGAATCATAGCTCTTCCAGTAAAAACCACCAAAATTATAATAACATTAGAAATATTCAGGTATTTATAACACTATTCCAAATAATTACTCATAAAAGATTTCTGACCTTCATGACTTACATTGCTAAGCAAAAGGAAATGCTAAAAAGGGCTAAATAACCAATCATATAAGAACTAATTCTTTCTCAGGACAGATTTGACATAAAAAAAAAAAAAGCTTCTTTAATTATGAAATCTCACTTTAAAAAAAAGACAAAAGAGATGCCTAAAAATAAGTTTTCACAATAAGGCAAAACATTATTTTCTTTGTTAAAATGCCAGTAGGTTGTCCAATATTCACTTGTTCACTCGGCAACACACATTAATTTGTGCACATGTTGCCTCAACCTAAAAAATACATTCATTTGGAGTTGTTTTCTAATTATTTAAAGAAATTTAGACACATTTTGTAGATGTCTTCATCCATCCCAATTGCAATTTTCTGCTATAGTTTCCAAAATATATAATGACAAAAAAAATGTGAATGGTTATATCAGTTCCGTCACCTACCTTATCAACTCCAACTTAGAGCTTTAGAAACATTTCAATGTTACTATAATGAAGCTAAGGAAAGAATAGTTATTTTATCACCTCTTATGGTGAAATCTACAGACAACCCATAGACAGATCTGGGTTAATAAAAGTTATAATTAAATCTATTTCTTAAAAACAATATTAAAACAATACTAAATAAAATAACTATTCACAAGAATAGTGTAAGATAGGACTTTGAAGGAATTTCTGTGTTAAGATGAAGCCCATGAATCATGAAATCAAGATGATGATTGGCAACTTAACTACTTAAGTTTATCAGCTATCACGAATCTCAAAAGACAGTACATTTACCTATTTAACTACATTTTCCAAAAATGCTTATTAACAGTCCCTTATAAGAAGCACTATTTGGGACCAGCAGCTGGTGACTACAGTTCTGGACTCCCACACTATTGACTGTGGTTCAAGTCCTGGACCCAACAGCTTGACAGTCATACCAGTCGTGTGTGTGTGTGTGTGTGTGTGTGTGTGTGCGTATGTGTGTGTGTGCACGTGTGTATACTCAAAAGTCCTTGTGTGTGTGTGTGTGTGTATGTGTGTATACTCAAAAGTCCCGAGGGAGAATGGAGGACAAGGGATTGTGGTGTGGCCACACCCCTGGGGAGTGAGTTCTCACTTTCTCTCTATCGGTCGCTCTCTGTGTCTGCGGCAAGCATATATGCCCTATAGCAAAAAAACCTCTCTCTACCCACTCCCCCCATATCTTTTCTTATTTCCAATGTCCCAAAAACGCAATTTTTAAAAAGTCATGTCTGTTGTGGCCTGTGCCTTCTGTAAACTATGCATCTATGGTTTCCTTTTTTTTTTTCTTTCTAAGGTGTTTGTCATAGGGCACATGTGTTCACAGAGAGACAGAGAGAGAGAGAAAGAGAGAAAGAGAGACAAAAGGTGAGCAATTACTCCCCAGGGAAGATGGTCATGACACAATCCCTTCTCCTCCATTCTCCTCCTGGGATTTTGGTCATGTAGGCAAATGCGCTCAACAAGTTTCAAGCCACCAGGTCTGGGATTCGAACTGTGGTCAGCCATGTGGGACTCCAGCACCCCAAACACTACACCACCTGCTGGCTCCTGCTTTCCTTTTCATAAGTATCCCAGAGCTTCAGTAACTCCTTCCTTGCCATCTTTCCTGGTTAGTTCCATTTATGAGTACTTCCTCCACAGCCTCTATCTCATTAGATATATTAAAAGTAATTCCTTTGGCTCCTTAAGAATCCTTTGATCTCTAATTTAAGCAATATGATTTTAAATAGCAATGTGACCTGCGAATAGGGAACATAAACAACAGGTGCATCATTATTTGCTTCCTTTTCTTATTTTGTACAAAAATTGAGTAAATGCTTTTTGCGCTCTCAAAAGGAGAATGCTTATTTGAATAAAAGAATAAAAATACATAGAACAAATTAGCCCCCAATTTCACACCAATACGTTCTTATCACCAACCTGAACCTTTGTTCAACCTTAGGACCAAAATTAAGCATCACATAGTCCATGCATCAAAACTATTTGTTTTGCATTAAAAATCCTTAACTACCTTCCTTGGATAATAGATACTTTATACACTTCAATCTGTTATTTGGATCCTAAATTCAAGTGGCCCAGAGTCACAAAAAGAAGAGAAATTACTAATAGTAGGCACAAACATCAAGAAAATATATAAAATGGAAATAAAAAACAAACCAGAAATTAGAAAAAGAAACTCAGAAAGCACAGCACTTTTCTAGACTTCAAAAGCATGTGTAATCATTAACAGTACAATAGTTATAGAATGGTTCTCCAAAATGGCATTTAACCTTCTTAAAAAGGTAACAATATGGTGGATATATGGTGAGAAAAAAGAGCCCAGGGAGCAGGGTAGGGAAACCAAAAATGGGAGAGATGTCTGTAATGTTTTATTAAGAAACTAGTTTTTAAATTATAAAACTGAAATTAAATAAAAAGGTGTGCATAAAGGTTTAAGCCTTTGACTATGTGTAATATTTGAAATAATTCATTTTCCATGGGTTCCAAATTGTTAACATTTTAGTATAAGAGATCTTAAATCTCCTATCCTCTTCATGTGTGTTGTATGCTGCCTTATCTACCTACCAATCTATCTACTGGGTCATCAGAAAAGTCAGGAGGCATTTTCTATGAAAAATACATCATGACTTTTCCAATGACCCAGTGTCTAGCTATCTGTCTGTATATCTATCTACCCATCTCTCAATTCTGTCCCTGTCTTCAAACTGTATTGTTTCTGTCTCTGACTCTTCCCTACCCCACAAGCTGAATCCTTTGCCTGCGCATACACGTGTCTTCTCTCTCTGCCTTTCCTGAGTCTCTCACTCAGTCTGTATGTCTTTTTCTGTCTCAGTCTGCACATCCCTGTCTCTGCCACTCTGACAGTCTCTCTGTCAGGGTGTATCTCATGATGTGCATGTCTCTCTCATCAGTATGTGTCCCAGTCTGTTTGTGTGTGTGTCTCTCTCTCATGAGTGTGTCTTCCCGCTGTCTCCATATGTACGTCTGTTTTTCTCACTCTCTCTCCTTATTCTTCTGATCACTCCCTCATTACTCTGTATGTATTTGTTTCTTTAGTGTCTTTTTCTTTCTCATCCTGGTTTCTCCTCGCTCCCTCTCACTCACTGTGTGTGTGTCTGTGCATCTGTGTTTGTGTGTGTGTGTGTGTCTGTGTTTGTGTGTGTGTATCTTCTCTTTCACTGTCTCTTTCTCTGAATATCTGTGCATATGCCTGTGCCTCTATCTCTCTGGGTGAGTCTTTCATTTCCTATTTCTCTCCCTCCCTGTACATCTGCCTCTTTCTCCTGGGCCTCTTTTACTCTGGTACCTCTCTCTGAGTCTCTGTGTGTTCGTCTTTCTGTGTGCCTCCGTGTGTGTGTGTGTGTGTGTGTGTGTGTGTGTGTTTCCCTCAAGTTTCTCCCTTCCTGAATCACCTTCTCTGCGTGTGTCTCTGCATGTCTCATTCTCTGAGTGAGCCTCTGTATACCTTTCTCTTCCAGTCCTTCTCCAAGGCCCTCCTCTATTTTGTCATATAGAGATGGGTTTCTTTCCATGTCTTTTTCCTCTCTCAACATCTTTTTGTGTGTCTCTTTCTGTGTGTGTGTGTTTCCCTCTTTCTCTATGTGTATATCTTTTTCTCTGCATGTCTTTGTTTGTCTCTCTTTTGTGATATATGGGTTTCTTTGTGTGTACTTTGTGTGAGTGTGTGTCCACACACATGCATACACGAGAGCACACATATGCACTTCTCTACCTCAGTATAGTAGTTAAAACAAACAGAATTCATTCAGTACCTTGAACTAGCACACCACCTGGGGCTTGGAATTAATGCCTTAAAAGTCCTTACCTTTTGACCAGTTCTCCATTTGTACTTCTGCTCTTGTTTGCTCTGGCAAGGTCTTCGGTTTTTGCTCCAAGATTTGAAGCTAAAATAAAGCCAACTCTGGATAAATAAACTTAAAACAATATATAAGAACACACCTAAACTTATGTTTGTTTAACCGAAATTTTCAGGATAAATGGTTTTATAAAACATTTCTAATGGGACAATTAACTGTGTGTTTCAACAGGTGAAATGAAATCTTTTTTCCAAAAAAAGTTATTTTCTCCACACTTATATTTTAGTAAGTACAGTTCAGGTTAAACTTTAAGACTTCTTCTTCAGTTAAAGAACAATTTAATTTATTTACCTTAAAACTTTGCAAGTATAACCTTAGACATTTAAGCAAAATTAAAAAAATTACTATATTTGCCATAAATTGTATATATATATATTTATATATATATATATATTCATATAAATCATTTTATACTTACAAAAGTAATTTTAAAATGCTATTCTGACTTTTTTAAAAGTCAATGAAGATCATCATTAACTTGTAGAATTATTTCTCTTTCATTGGTTTTCATAGTAAACATGATAAAAGCTATGCAAGTATTTTTTCCATGCTTTTAAGGAGAATAAAATTAGATTTACCTCACAGCTAGAACTCTGCGTTCTTTAAAAAGTCCTCAAATAAAGCTGTAGTAAGCTTCTCCTTTTCCAATTTTCTCTAAATATGTTGATCTGGAGTTGGCAATCTTTTTCTAAGTTCCTCATTTACTTTTGGATTAGCTGAAAATATAGGAAGTTATTAATATCAAAGAAATATGATCCATTCAATGAAGCCATCCTACATATTGCCCAAAAAGGTTAATAATAATTGCAGTATTTTAATAAGAGATTCATATAGCAAGACATGTAGAAAATACAGTCTTTAATAACCTCTGGAGTATTTTAAAACATGTCTTACAGGCCTTAATGTGCTTAGTAATATACTATTTAAAACCATAATTTTATCCCTCTGCAATATACAGTCACTCTTCCTCATCATTTACCCAGCTAATGAATGCCAGCAATTAGTAAAATGTAATCCCATTGCACAATCATTTTAATGCTTTTAGCACTCAGAAAAGTAAACACCAAATTAATACTGCTCAAGCCATATCAGATCCTAGTTGGAAGCAAGCAATTATAGTTCAGCTCCTCAGGTGTAATTAAATGATTGGAATGATTTAGTTCCATAAATGCAAGTTAATTCATAAGCAAGCAACAAATATACTGGGAGTAATTACAAGAAACATTGACAGTCTAAGCAGGGCATGAGCCTGACATAGTAAAATGCTGCCCTCTCCTGGGCAGAATAGTGAATAGCTCAGAGCCCCAAACAAAACACCCTTCAAAAAACCTAACTTTCAAAAAGGCACTAGACAAAATAATGGTAACCAATATACCAATTTGATTTCATTTCTTATAACAAACATATAAACATGTGGCTTGCATTATGACAATTCATATACATCCAGATAGTTAATACGTTTTCCAATAAAGCTTGAATCTGAATCCCAAAACACACCAGGCAATTCCTATATGGTTAATGAAAGCAAATAATGCTTATATAACATTGACAGGCAGACGGCAAGTGAAACTTCTAGTACCCATTTGGCTCGCTAGTGAATACCTATGTTCTTTCAGTGGTAATGCCTAACTGGAATGCTACCAATAATAAATAAACTATGCTTTTATAAGTAATAAAACTTGCAGAAAAAGGTAAAACAAAATAGCCAGTATTATTGTGACTACATAATGGTCTAAAATTAATTGTTCTTCACTAGTAAGAACAAAAATTTGAGCAATAGTATAGCTGTCATTATAAGCAGATCTTAAAACAAAAATAACAAGTTCTACACAGAATAAAATGCATCCTGGTCTTAGTTAAGCCATTTCCAAGTTTTTACTTTCTTAGACTAAAACTCAGGATTAATTTACCGGTATACTACCAAAATTGTTCTTATTCTTTTACACTGATTTCCAGAAGCTTATTTATTATACTTTTAAAGTGTGGTATAATAAATAATCTTGTTAAAAACACGTATTTATAGCACAAAATCCCTCAGCATAATCCCTTTGCTTTTCAACAGAACTGAATATGTTCGCTAATAAAATGTTATAGTAAACACGTTTACTTTTTCAATAAATGCATATACCACTTTCAGAAGAGAATGCTCCACTCTACACTAAATAACCAAAGAGGGAGAGAATATTAAATTAATGCCCTTTTAATTTGCTTTCAAATGTATTCAAATACTATATTCTAAGTTACAGCCTATGCAAACTATAAAAATAAAATAAACCAAAATATTAAAACGTCCTGCCACTAAGTTTAAAATGTACAGCACACTTGCTTTGCCCTTGATGTCACAGTCTTATTTTTCAATTCATATCTTGTACACTGTAAGTTAATTGCTTTTGGAAAGTACTTATTATTCATGTAAAAATTAATGTGCCAATGTGTTTAAATCCTCTTAAATGACCATTCATGCATCTTTCTTCTTTAAGTACCAATGAAATCTGTCAAAAGACATCAATGCAAAATGGACTTAAAGAAAGTTCTAATAGAGATTTTTTTCTGCTAACACAAGATTTTCATATTCACCAACTTTACTTAAATTCCATTAATTTTTTAAGCTACTTTTAATAAATTCACCAAGTAAAATTTTTAGGCCCCATAGTCTGTCATTTGTGTTCCAGCTGACATTATGAATATTAATAACAGTGTTATCCTGATTAAATAGGCTTCATATGAAATCCCTGTGAATCCTATAGCTCAGACATCTCATTTTTCCAACTCTTTATGAATTTGGATTCAGACATTAAACTGGAAAAATCTTAAAAAACAGATTTAATGGCACATTTGCATATCCTTCAGCAAAAATTAGATGTTATAATGACTCAAACAATTAAAACACATATCTACATATTATAACAGGAATAGAAGATTTCCGTAAACATGCAACACATTTTACAATTTTATCTTTTTCAGGACAAAGGATTAAGACTAATAAAATACTAATTCCTGTCCCTACCTTAAAGATTTTAAATCGAGAACTTGTTTTCAGTCAAAAGTTACATATTCACATTAAAACTAATGTGATGATTTTATAGTGGGTAATTAGATAAATTGGGGCTCTTAATCAAATGCTAGCATATTTCATTATAAACAAAGCATATGTTAATTGCTTTATCATTACTAATCTACACCAGGTTCACAACAAGGTAAAATCAACTTCCAATAAAGTTTGTTGGTAAGTTGTGCTGCAAAAAATTACCCATGTTAGAAAAAAAAAAATCTTCTAATATGACCAACAGAACATACCATATTAACATCTAATAAATTAAACTTCCTATATCACAGATTTCTAACCTCATTTCTCCAAGTTATATATAATTCTGAAAGAAAGTAATCTTACCATGAAAAAGAAAAGAAAATGAAATACTAATTAAGCAAACTGTATACACCTTCTCTTTATAGGTATGTGAGAATCTCAGTGTATCTGACAAAGTTTCTTGCATTCACCCACCAAACAAATGTATACTGAAAAATTTAAACAAAAACTTCTATGCTCTCAACTGTGACTTGACTCTCCTCATTTACTGAGCATTAAAATACTGTATGAAACAAAATTTGTTCTTTCACCAATCTAAAATTTCTAATCTGCCTTAAAAATGATAATTCTGACATTTACCTTTTAAAATTAAATAATGCCTTTTTGATAGAGAAGCATTTAAAAATGGGGTTTCATTCACCAACCTAACAACATCCAGGATTTTTCATAACATTTTAAATGAGAGATGCCATTACCGCTTTCCTCCCTACAAGCCACCTTCTAGCAAAGGTTTTTGGTTAACTTTGGTTGATGGCATCTCTTAATAATGCCTTCTTTGTTTAATCACAAGTTTGTATAAATTGAATTTAAGTGTCAACTAGGAATAATATTAATAACAATAGTATTAATAGTAATAATTAATAACCTGGCATTGTATCTAAATGCAACTCCTGAAAAACTCCAAATTTTGTACTTTCTAGATTGAGAAATGATGATAATTTCTATGTTCAAATAGCTTAATTAAATTGCCAAAGGAGAGCACTGTTATTTCTTTCTTTTTTTTTTTTTTTTTGAGAGGTTTTTGCTATAGGGCGCGTGCGCTCGCCAGACAGACAGAGAGAGACATAGAGACAGAAAGCGAGAAATCACCCCCCGGGGGGATGGTCATGCCGCAATCCCTTCTCCATTCTCTTCTCGGGATCTTGGGCACGCACGCACACGCGCCCGGTGTGTTTTAAGCCACCGGGTCCGGGACGCGAACCATGGTCGACTACATGGGAGTCCAGCGACATAGCCATTACACTAACTGCTGGTTCCCGAGCACTGTTATTTCTGAGAGCCACATATTCTATCAATTAGTGCAACATATACAATATGTACATATATCCTACTATTGGATTTTCATCTTACTATACAAAAACCACTTAAGCATCCAGAGTCCCTGGCACATTCACTCCAAAATGAATTCACTTAATTTAAAGTGCCCACTCCCTACCAAGCTCCAGGCAACTCAAGTTCTTCAGAGCCAGAGAAAGTAAGAGGAGGTTCAGGGAGAAAGGAGAAGGAACAAAATTTACCCTGGATGGTTGCCAAAATTATAAATACATATAATATTTGACCTCATAGTTCCACTACTACAATTTTTACAAAAACATGAAAACATATTTTATGTACAAAGATATTCACTGAAGCAGTATTTATCTGTAAGAGCAAATACAGTCCAGTCACAGTGAACTTCTTTCTTACACAGTGAACACACCAAGCTTATTCCTGCTTTAGAGCTTTTATGTTTGCTATTCCCTCTGCCTAGAATTCTCTTCCTTAGATCACTAAACAATTTTTGTCAACATTCAGGGCTTAACCAAAAGTCTTCTGTTCAGACCAGCAGGTGGCGTGGTAATTGGGGTACAGTATCCCTCAAGGCCAACTTCCAGGTTCAAGTCCCAGACCCAGTCGGCTTGAGAAGCACATGAGGTGTGTGTGCATGTATAGCCAGGGTCCTGAGAGGAGAATGGAAGGGAAGAAACTATGGCAAGGCCATCTCTCCTAGGGGGTGATTTATCACTTTCCCTCTTCTTTCTCTGTCTCCGTCTCTCTCCTGTGAGCCCATGCACCCAAAGGCAAAAATCTGAAAGGAGATACCCCCCAAAAAAGCCATCTGTTCTAAAGGGTTTTGCCAGACCATCCTGTCTAAAGTAGAAACTCTTTTCATTATATTACTTATGCTACTGCCTTCATGAAACTAGTATCTTTAGATTTTATTTCATTATTTTTGATATATCTCAGACAATTATGTACATGGTAGTTAAGTATGAAAAGCACTCTTGATTTTCTCCACTACCTCTTAGATGAGCGTTTGGCATAAAATAAGTACTCAGAACATATCTGACAAACACAGGTAGATGGGCAGATGAAGGGACAGATGACTAGAGCAACACTAGGACTAACATAAATGTTTATCAGTAGAAAAGTGGTACAAGAAAATGTGGCTCAACCATAGAGCAATTCTATATGGTTTATACCATAAATTCAGGCAGCTACTATGTACATTTTGAGGAAGATTCCTTCCAAAAAATATTTGTTGAGCATCTACATACTATGAGTGAGACACTAATCTAGGAGCTACATACAAAGTGCTGAATAAGACAAACAAATTTTCCCATACAAATACTCTCTAGGCCAAACAAT